CTGTGGGATGCCGACTTCGTCCTGGTGGCCGCCCGCCGCGCCCGCAGAAATCCCCAGCAGCAGCAGTTCCTGGAGGCGCTGAAGAGCAAGGGCTTCAGCTGGACGGTGGGCGGGGGCCGCGGGCCGGGCCGGGGAGGGGTTCTGGCCTGGGTCGGGGAGCAGGGCCAGGCTCAGAGGCCCCGTGTGCCCCAGGAGCGAGAGGACCGCGCCCGGAGCCAGGTGTTCTTCGGGATCCGAGCGGACAGCAGCATCTTCGACCTGTATCACACCCTCCTCCTGGAGCCCCAGGATCCTGCACCCCAGGACCGGCCGGCCACGCCTGCCCCTGTCCAGGTCACCACCAGGTGAGGGGCCGTGCCCTGAGGCATGGCCAGGAGGACGCCTCGCCCGCCCACATGCTCGGGCCAGGTGGAGCAAGGGGATGGGTCGAGGCTCCGGGCGTCCTCCGAGGTGGGAGAGCCCCGCGGCAAGTGGTCTCCAGGGCGGTGGGCATAGGGTTCTGTGCTGCCGTTTTCGTGTCGGTGGCAAGGGACAAGGTCTCGCCTCTAGGAGCCTTCTGAAGGTGGCACAGGGCTTCGTTCCCGGGACTTAGGGTCAGAGCCAGCCTCGGAGGGTGGGCAGGACTTGGAGGGGCCCGGAGCCACTGCAGCCATGCCTCCAGGACTCTGAGGTCACCGTCTCCCTCAGACGCCACCTCTCCAGGTGCAACACCCCTGGACATCCATTTCTGGGCTCCTGGGTGCAGCCCCCGGGGCCTGGCCGGGAGAGCCTCCTCTCTCTGCAAGCGCCAGCCTCTCCTGGGTCCCAAGCCCAGGCGGGAACCTCCAAGCCTGTCCCTGACTCCCCCTCGCCCGTTCCCCTGCCCAGCCCCGTCCAGGTCTGCTAGGTGGACTTGCCGAGGACGCCCCTGGCATTGGCTGTGGAGGGTGTCCTGTGACCACAGAACTTCCGGCCTCAGGAGGAGTGGGGAGTGTCAGACAAGGGGAGGCAGCCTGAGAGGTGCAGGCCTGGAGGGCGTATTCCTGGGGGCGCCCTGGGGCTGTGTCTTGGGTGCAAGGGAGGCGCTCAGGCGCCATCTGTAGTCAGATGCCTGGCTGTGTGGCTTCGGCCTGTGTGGCCCTGAGACGTGACATGCCCTCTCGGAGCCTCGACCTCACACGGGCAGGACAGCTCGTGGGGTGTAGAGAGGGTCTGTGCACATGGAGACTCGGGGTGCTCTGGACGCGCAGGGCACACAGGTGGGGTCAGCGGTGGGGGGAGGGGCTCCCGGGTGACGCGTGGGTTCCAGGCTCCGGTCAGGGCTGGCAGGCTGGGGGCAGGACAGGGTTGGGGCCTGGGCCTGGCCAGACCAGACGCCGGGTCCTCCTAGGCCGGGCCGGGCCGTCCCGACTCAGCTCTTTGTTTCAGAATCCGAATCGTGAACTTCATCCTGAGCAACCTGACAGCAGCCGGTGGCAGTAAGGAAGGTGGTGGGGGGAGGGGCGCCCACGGGGGCACCACGGGCGAGGCCTCCCGTGACCTTCACTTCCCTCCGACCCTAGAGACGTTCGAGGATTTGGTGAAGGACGGGGTCTTCCAGGCCAGGTTCCCCCTGCACCGGGTGAGGACAGCCGCCAGGCGTGGGTCCGAGGGCGGGACGCGGGTCCCAGGGTGGGACGGGTTCACGCACTCACTGCCGTCCCTGGAGCCAGGGCGAGGACGAGCTGAAGAGGACGTGGGCCCGCTGGAGAGCCGTGTGCAACAGGCAGCCGATCAACCAGATCAGGTAGCCCTGCCAGCAAGGCCTGAGC